GCAATTGGGCAATTGGGCAATTGGGCAATTGGGCAATTGGGCAATTGACTACTGCAGCTGCTGAAGACATGAGAGTAAAGGCAAAGTAGAAGGAAGTTTAACTGTGAAGTCACAGGTAGTAGTTAAGTGAGTGGCAGGTGATTGGTGAGTAGCTTCTCTTCTCTTCTCTCTTATTTTCTGTTTACTTTGCTATTGTTGTTAACTTAGGGGTTAAGTCATGGCAGGAGGTCCCAGACCCATGTAATGCTTGTCCTGTATGATGTGGGAATTCAGGGACAGTTCTGATATCCCTGACTCCTTCACATGCTGGAATTTTGTTGAGCTACAGCTCCTGTTTGACTGCCTGACAGCTCTGGAGCTGTTGCTGGATTCACTTTGGAGCCTCCATGAGCCTGAAAGAATTGTGGACAGCACATTCAGTAAGTTGGTCACACCTCTGATCTCAATTATTGAGGAAGTTAGGGAATGGGTGACCAACAGACAGAGGAAGAGTAAGAAGGTACTGCAGGGGTCCCCTGTGATCACCTTCTTCCAAAATAGGAATACTGTTTTGGATACTTTGGGGAAGATGGCTCACCAGAGGAATGTGGCAGCAACCAAGTTCATGGCACTATAGCTGGCTGCACAGGAGGGCAGGAAAAATAGTGGCAGCGCAATAGTGACTGAGGATTCAATTGTAAGGGGAATAGATAGGTGTTTCTGTAGCCACAAATGAGAGTCCAGGGTCACTGATGTCTTGGAGTAGCTGCAGGACATTCTGGAGGGGGAGCATGAACAGCTAGCTCTTGTAGTGCATGTAGGCACTAATGATATAGGTAAAAAATGGGATGAGGTTCTATAGACTGAATTTTAAGTTGTGCTAAAGTAAAAATTAGAAGCTCAAATGTAGTAATCTTGAGGTTGCCAGCAGTGTCATGTGCTAGTCAGAGTAGGAATGGCAGGATAACTAGGATGAATACATGTTTTGAAGGATGGTACAAAAGGGAAGAATTCAAATTCCTGGGACATTGAAACCGGTTCTGGAGGAGGTGGGACCAATACAAACTGGACAGTCTGCACTGGGCAGGACTGGAACCGATGTACTAGGGGAGTGTTTGTTTGTGCTGGTTGGGAGCATTTAAACTAATATGGCAGGGGGGCAGAAACAAATCCAGGAAGTTGGAAGTAAGTTGTGTGGGGACAGAAACAGAAGACAGTAAGGGGAAAAGTGGAAGGCAGAGAAACCAAAGACAAAAATCCAAAAAGGACACACTATACCATGATTCTAAAAAGGCAATAAATATTTTTTTAAAAATGAGCCTGAAGGCTCTGTGTATCAATGCCAGGAGCATTTGTAACAAGAATTAACTGTGCAGGCAGTTGTTAATGATTATGATGTAATTAGGATCACGGGGGGCCTGGCTCCAGGGTGACAAGGATGGCAACTCATTGTCCAGGGTTATTCTATTATTGGGAAAGATAGACAGAAAGGAAAGGGAGCATTGCTGGTTAGGGAGGAGATTAACAGAATAGTTAGAAAGGACATTAGCCTGGATGATGTGGCATCCATATGGGTGGAGCTGTGGAATACCAAAGGGAAAAAGATGTCAGTGGGAATTGTGTACAGACAACCAAACAGTAGTTGTGATGTTGGGGATTATATCAAAGAGGAAATTGGAGGTGAATGCAGTAAGGATATAGCAGTTAGCATCGGTAACTTCAATCTACATATTGACTGGACTAACCAAATTGTTACCAATGTGATGGAGGAGGATTTCCTGGAATGTATGAGGGGCCATTCCCTTGACCATGTTGAGGAACCAACTAGAGAGCAAGCTGTCCTAGACTAGGAATTGTGTAATGAGGATTAATTAGTAGCATTGTGGTACAAGATCCTTTAGGGAGGAGTGACAATAATTTGGTAGAATTCTTCATTAAGATGGAGAGTGACACAATTAAATCTGAAACTAAGGTCCTGTATCTAAAGAAATCTAACTTGCATGGTATGAGGCATGCATTGGCTAGGCTAAGTTGGCCAAGGATACTTAAGGGGTTATGCAATGGCAGACACTTAAAGAATGGATGAACTTCAACAATTGTATATCCCTATCTGGCCTAAGGGTAAAACTGGGAATGTAACTCAACAATGGCTAACAAGAGAAATCAGGGATAGTGTTAAAGGCAAAGAGGAGGCATATAAATTGGCCAGAAAAAGCAGCAAACCTGAGGAGAAAATTACAATTCAGCAGAGGAGACAAAGGGTTTAATTTAGAAGGGGAAAATAGAATATGAAAGTAAGTTTTTACATTTTCCACAAAACTGACTGCAAAAGCTTCTATAGATATATGAAGTGATAAAGACTGGTGAAGACAAATGTAGGTCCCTTGCAATTAGAATCAGGTGAATTCATAATGGGCAACAAAGATAGCAGACCAGCTGAACAAGTACTTTGGATCTGCCTTCACTAAGGAGAACACAAATAACCTTCAGGAAATGCTATGGGACAGAGGGTCAAGCATGAAGGAGGAACTGAAGGCAATCCTTACTCGTCAGGAAATGGTATTGGGGAAATTGATGGGCCAGTGACCGGGGTTTGATTCCACCTGCAGGCGACTGTCTGTGTGGAGTAGGCACATTCTCCTCATGTCTGCGTGGGTTTCCTGAGTGCTCAGGTTTCCTCCCACAGTCCAAAGATGTACAGGCTAGGTGGATTGGCCATGCTATATTGCCCATAGTGTCCATGAGTATGTAGATTAGGGGATGGGTCTGGGTGGGATGCACTGAGGGTTGGTGTGGACTTGTTGGGCTGAAGGACCTGTTTCCACACTGTAGGGATTCTATGATAAAGTCCCCAGGGCCTGAAGCTCTGCATCCCAGAGTATTCAAGGAAGTGGCCCTAGAAATAGTCGATGCATTGGTGATCATTTTCCAGCATTCTGTAGACTCTGAAAGAGTTCCAATGGCCTGGAGAGTAGCCAGTGTAACCCCACTCTTTGAAAAAGGAGAGAGAGCGAAAGAGAACAGAATTATAGGCTGGTTAGTCTGACATTGATAGTGGAGAAAATGCTGGAGTCTATTATTAACGCTGTAATAACTGAACATTTGGAAAGCGGTGACAGAATGGGCCTAGTCAGCATGAATTCACTAAAGGAAAATCATGCTTGACAAATCTTCTGGAATTTTTTGAGCATGTGACCAGTAGCGTGTACAAGGGTGAATCAATAGATCTTGTGTATCTTTCAAAAGGGTTTCGACAAGATTCCACATGAGATTAGTAAGGAAAATTAAAGCTCATGGTATCGGGCGATGTGAATAGAGAACTTGTTGGCAGACAGAAAGCAGAGTTGGAATGAATGGGTCCTTTTCAGAGTGGCAGGCAGTGATGCATGGAGTGCTACAGAGTTCAGTTTTGGGACCCCAGCTGTTCACAGTATACATTAACAATTTGGACGAAGGAATTGAATGCAATATCTCCAAATTTGCAGATGACACTAAGTTGGGTGGCAGTGTGTGCTGTGAGGAGGATGCTAAGAGGCTGCAGGATGACTTGGACAGACTGTATTGCATTTACCAAGTATTGGCCACTCAGCCAATGTGGATAATTGTGGGGATATCCACTTTGGTGACAAAAACAGGAAGGCAGATTATTATCTGAATGGTGGCAGTTTAGGAAAAGGTGTAGTGCAATGAGACCTGGTGTCATAGTGGAGCAGTCACTGAAGGATGACATGTAGGCTCAGCAGGCAGTGAAGAAAGCTAATGGCATGATGTCCTTCATAGTGAGAGGATTTGAATATTGAAGTCTTTCTGCAGTTGTACATGGCCTTGGTGAGGCCACACCTTGAGTATTGTATGCAGTTTTCGTTTCTTAGGCTGAGGAAGAACATTCTTGCTACTGACCGACTCCAGCGAAGGTTCACCAGACTGATTCCTGGGATGGCAGGACTGAAATATGAGGAATGATGAGATCGACTGGGCTTGTACTCGCTGGAATTTAGAAGAATGATGGGGGTATCTTGTAGAAACATATAAAATCCTGATGGGACTGGACAGGCTAGATGCAGGAAGGTTGTTCCCAATGATGGGGAAGTCCAGAACTAGGGATAAGCCATTCAGGACTGGGATAAGGAAGAATTTCTTCACTCGGAGTTGCGAACCTGTGGAATTCTCTTCCATTGGGGCCAATTAATTGGATATATTCAAGAGGAAGCTGGGCATGGTCCTAACAGCTAAAAGGATCAAGGGGTATGGAGAGAAAGTGGGAATAGGATATTGAGATTGCAAGATCAGCCATGATCATGTTGAATGCTGGTGTGGGCTTGAAGGGTTGAATGGCTTACTCCTGCACCTATTTTCTATGGTCATATGTTTCTATGTTTCTATGTTTCTAAAGTATGAGTAGCATGAGAATAAAGTGTGATGCTATTGTGCTGCACTGTTAACAGACACTGACTTTTGATTGAGAGGGAACGGAAAAGATTTGCAAGGATGTTGCCAGAACAGTTTGATTGATGGGGAGAGGCTGAATAAGTTGGGGATTTTTGTTGCTTGAGCATCAGAGACTGATGGGTGAGCTTGTAGATTTTTATAAAATCATGAGGGGCAAGGATAGGGTGACCGATGGGGAGATCAAATCTAGAGGGCATAGGTTTAACATGAGAGGGAAAACTTTTTTGTGCAGTGGCTAGTGCATATACATATGAGCTGCCAGAGGAAGAGCTGAAGGTGGGTACAATTGACATTTAAAAGGCATCTGGATGGGTATATGAATGGGAAGGGATATTAGCGAAATGCTGGCAAATGAGACTAGGTCAGATTGGGATGTCTGGTCAGCATGGATGGATTGGACCAAAGGGTCTGTTTCCCTGCTGTATGACTCTGACTATGACACATAGATTCATTCAATCCCTACAGTGTGAAAGCAGGCCATTGAGGTCACACTGACCCACCAAAGAGCATTTCAACCCCACGAACCCATCTCTGTAACCCTGCATTTCCCCTGATTAGTCCATCTAACCTGCATACTCTGACTCTATGACTAAGATGTAAAAAATTATGCCCATCTGATCGTTCAGATGGATGTAAAGGATGGCAATATTTTTGAAGAAAAGAGGAGGTTTCTTTTTCCTGTTCATGCACAGGATGTGGGCATTGCTGGTTAGGCC